ATGCTTGAACAATTTCTATAGTTATGACCTTGACGTTTACATTTTAAACAAGTTAAATTTTTATCACTTTTAACGTTAACTAAATGAATTTTACTACCCCTAGAACAAGATGAGCGTGACTCCGATTTAATAGAATTACTATCTGAAGCGAGTTCTTCAATTTCTCTTCCCAATCGAACAATTTGGTCAATAGAAGTTATGTTTCGGCCAACAAAATACATGGCATATGAGCGCAACATATTATGCTTAATAATGTTAATTAAATTTTGTTCCGAAAGTGGATCAGAAAGACGAAAAGACATATCCTGCAGTTCTATTATAAAATCAGACAAAGTTTCTGTGGATTTTTGTTTACGTGTGCGTAAAAGAAATTCAAGTTGGTAATCAAAATCAAGTTTATCAAAACGTTTAAGTAAATCGACTTTAAGAGAATACCAAGAACTATAATTCACTCGAACAGTGCGGAACCACTTTTTTGCAACACCAGTAAGAAAATCTGAAAACGATGTGACAATAAAGTATTCATCAATATCTCTGGAAACCATGTACTCATCAACACTAGTTATAAATTCACGAACACAAGACTTACCATCAAACAAAATTTTACTTTTGGAGACATCAGGACGTTTATAATATGTTGACTTTTTCAAATGGTCAACACCCAAATTATGACCTAAATTTGTACTATTGTGTGAAGCATTTGTGGTCGCTGGTTGCAAAGCTGGTTGCGAATCAAGCAATCTTGAATTGTGTAGTGTAATATTATCAGTCAAATTTATCAATTCAGGTGCAAGTGGGTGTGTAAAAGCAGGCGGTGAAGCTAAATCACTTGTATCTGTTGCAACAGTAATTGACTGTTCCTTAGGCTGTGAAGCAGTAGCCAGTGCAAGTTTTTCCGTTTCCATTTTTGTGGAATGCAAAAATAGCAGTGAAATTATTATTCAATTCACTCAAATAAGACACAAAAAGGTCAGCAAGATGCAGCAAGTTTAACAAATTTAATAACCTATGTCAAAATTATTTGTCAAAATTCAACTAAGTTCCAATTGTTTTATGTAAATTATTACTGCAATAATATGACTCAAATAACAAAAAAGTTTCAAGTTAATGCTAAATGTTTTAAGTTAATCTTAAATTAAGTATACACTTGTTCAATAACAAAAAATTCAAAGTTAATTTTAAAACTTCAAGTTCTAAGTAAATGCAAATAATGATAATTGTTACAAGTTCAATAAATACAAAATACCACAATGATGATAAAGGTTTTCAAATTATTATTGAATTAAGTTTTAAATTACTTTACGTGTAATATATTTTTAAGTTGTAACATAAGTTTTAATAATTTAATTTCAAATATTAAGTTTATGACAATTTTAATTAATACCTATTATTGTTCTATGTTTAATTTCAATAAAAATAATTTCTTTAACCACTCAAAATAACCTGAAGAACATAATCTTTTATAAAAGAAACCTGTTATAAAAGTTTAAGCTTAATGTAACAAACTATTTTATATAGTAGATATAAAATGTTGGAACGAATAGTTCTTATATAGCATAAACAAGAGAATGACCTTTGTGAATTTGCATTTAGAAATGTAAATAACAAAGTATGAACCAAATGATCACATCAAATAGCTATGTTTTTATCAGTTTAAACAAAAGGATAATACAGAGTTTGTCTGTTTGTTTATACTTTCACTAGTAAATTCTTTTAGTAGGTGATTGAACAAAAAATATTTTTCACATTATCACTTGTGAAATAAATGGTATAAACACAGCAAGTATTCACATAAATAAGCAAATGCTTAGCCGCAAGCAACAAATCCAAAGATAAATGGTAGGGAAAATAAAGTAGTACACACAAATTAGTTATTATGACATTAAAATAAAGTAGGCATATTATGATTAATTTAATTTGAACCACACTCAAATAAAATTTTAATAAAATGGCAAACCAAAAAGCTTGTAAAGTGAGCTCGCTACTTCAAAACCAAGTCCCTGTGAGCTGGCGTCAATTGTAATATATTAAAAAAAATTAATTTATTTACTGTGTGAATGGTTGCTATTTGAAAATAATTAGAATTTGTGTGAAGGTTGTGATATTAAAAATAATGTAAGTTTGCAAAGAAATTTGCCAAAAGGTAGGTCACTAACAAATTAAATAATTATAAGAAACTAGTATAAATTTTTTCAGGCGCCAGACCTACCTGGAAAACAAAGCCGGAGAGTTTGGAGTTTTAATCGCAAGGGGGGCTTGTAAATAACAAACAACAACTTTTACTTTTGGTTTGCCATATATTTGAATGAAACTTTTATATATTTTGAAATTAAAGTTAAGTTTATAATCTCTAAAGTCTTAAAGGTGAGTGGAATTTTCGAACTATTAACAAAAAGGTTTTACATCACCAAATGAGCTGCTCCTTAATGCATCGTGCTTACATAGCTGCTTCTTAATTATATAGTGCTAAGCTGGCGTGCCCAAGATTGTGATGTATCAAGTGAGTGTGGCGTGGCTCATGCGGTAAAGGTTATGATCAGTACATCAAAATTGAAGTACAAGAAAACTTGTATATAAAAAAAAAAAAAACGCCAACGGCTGAAAAGAAAATCACACCGTTTAACATTTAGGAAACAAAACAAACGAAAATATATCGGTCGATCCTTTCGAAAACTTACCGTTTTAAAACAAAAAACTAAAGCAACATGGGGCAAGGTGGACCCCTAAGTAGGTTTATGTTTCCACCTGCGAAGAAAAAAAATTTGAAAATAGGAAAATACTATAAGAAAAATTATAATTCCATGAAGAATAATGCTTACCATTATTAAATATAAGGTATTTTTACTTAAATACCGTTGATGCAACAAGATTAAAATATAACAAAAGAAAGTCACATCTTTTCGTTATTTAAAAAGGTCGTGAAGTGACAAATGTCAAAACCGACAGTGAAGTTTATATTTTTTCTTTTTACGAAACAAATTTTCCTCGGGATTAGGCCCATTCAGCCAAGTTGTATGAAAAATTACATGTGACGTAAATTTTACGTTACAGTGTAAGCAAAATTATATTCAGCTAGAAAGATTTGTGCTCCTAAAGTATGTTTGGCCAATTATGATAATCACACATTATGATAAATACAATAATTTTAAATGTTGAAGCTCCTCACATAGAATATTATAAATGATAACAATTGAACTATTATCTTACTTTAATATATTATTGTATGTGAGCATCTAACATCAAGAACATTCTTTCGCAATTGCTTTATAAAAAGAATTTCACGTTGTTTTACTATTTTAAACATAAGAGTACCTTTGTAACAAAAGATAAGAATAAAATAATAAATATTTTCATAATAACTGTTTTGTGACAATATAAGATTTCGATAAATAAAATAAAATAATCTCAGCTAAACGAAATTTGTAGAAAAAAATTATGAGATTAAATAAATGCCTCACCAAAGAATTAGATTATGAATCTAAATCACTTACCTTTTCAAGTAATTGATACCAAAACATACAGATTTTACAGCACTTTCAATTTACAGATCAGCATTCGGCAAATCATTCGCTGAATCCTGCAAATTGTTACACCACAACGAGGGTCAGGGTCTTAAATTAATTGCATAGGTTCGGCACAGTTTCGACTTTTACTGTAGAACCAGAGATTTTCAAAATTGTATGTACAGAACTATAACAAACTTGATAATATGAAGTAATGGGTAGGTATATCACACAGATATTATATTCTTCATTCAAAATCAATAAATTAAATTCTCCTTTTCTTCACAGAAGCATAGACAAAGATCGATTACTTGACAGTTAACTGTCAACTGTTACCTTTTTAATATAACGCAAAGAATTTAGTTAATGCAACCATATAGGAGTAGACAATAGACTTATATTAATTAGTTTCCTTAAAAATATGATATAAAATATCTTATTGGAATGGGTCGACACTATTAAATATAAGTTGCGTGTTGTGGTCATCCTGTTAGATAATAATCTAATAAAGTTCGTTTATTAGAATATGCAGACAAAATATTTTTACTTTCAGTTAAATAAGATAAAAGAAAATGCAACATTTTTGAGAATTTAATGAACGATGATAACGCTTCTACTATTTGTGTATCAAATGAAAGGGCTCGTTTAAAGTAACTTAAAAATGAAAGTGACTTTATTCTTAATCCAATGTGGTGGAATATCCAAAATGGCGTAATAGTTATTATTTATGCACTTTTACAGTGTAGGTATCAAATGAAGGGGCTTGTCTCGTATAATAGAGATGATGACTAATTTTTGTTTGTTTGTCCGTCAGGTAGAGTGTTAAAAAATATTTCATCAAAAATACTTCTTCATTTTCAAAACTCAATAAACAACTCACATTCTTTTTGTACTTTTTCTTATTTGTATTGATATCTAAGTTTCAAACTTTGCAAATTTCAGTTTTTTAATATGTTAGTTAAAAGGAACGAAAATAAGTATCTTTGGTTCATTCGTTTCCTGCAAAAATCAACTTTTACTTTCTTTTTTTTTTAATACTTCCTCATTGGTCTACCTTGGTCTGCAATAAAATATGTTTTGCACAAGTCGCGTGTTTCTAAACTGTTTCTGCTTTTTAGCAGCGTCTTTGGTTTCTGAACAAACTGCCACATGGATTATGACATTGGTGACATAACATTAATTTTGACATTTATTGTGCAAAAGACTAGAAGAAGAAATGGTGTAACTCGGTTTTTTAGTTTCTAATTCGTAAATAAATCAAAACATATAGGAAAAACGAAGCATCAAAACAGACGACACCAGCAAAATTATTTAAACTCATTATATGATAGATACACCAGTATTACAGTAAAATTATTACTCGTTTGTAAAGACTGCTCACAAAATTAACTTAAGAAAATCAATACATTAGCCATGCCACCTGTAAGCTTTCTCTGGTTTAATTTTCTAAAATAGTATTTTTTCTGTATCTCATGTTTCTTATTGGTTTATGGAGTCTTTAAATCATGAAATAATATTTTTGTTTCTTTTTTGGTTCATATGTCTAGTATAATGTCTGGTTTAGATGTAATATTTGACATGTTAATTTTAACCCAGATGTTGAAGTTCTATTACCTCATTTACAATTTTTATTTCTTGCCTTTTCAGCCTCCAAAAGGAAAACCACCTACAAAAGGTGCAAAACAAATTTTGATGGAGAACTCGGCCACTGTTAATTTTTACAGAAATATGGCAATAGGTGCTGCCTTATTCCATTGTGCTCTTCTTATTGCTATTTATTCAGAAAGCATAACATCATGGACTATTGTAAGCTTTTTATGGTATCCAAAATTAATTTTAGATGTTACTAATGAAATTACTATTTGAAAATAATGTGACACAGCTTTTCATTCATAACGATTCTTAGTTAATTAAAATTATAACTGCACTTACTGTTTACCTATTAACTTGTTACTAAATAAGAATTGCTATTGTTATTTTTAGTATTACTATTACTGTATTAGTAATTATAACAGTTTAAAATGTATATCAGTTAATGGATAATCTTATTAATGTTCTCTACTATATTAAAAGAGTAATGTAATATGTGTACAAGTCACAAGTAGCCTATTTTATCAATGAGGAATGATAGAAATTTGTAGCAAAGAAGGGTACTCAAAAGGAGTTGCAAGCCTACCATGTAACTTTTATTGGCTAACATTTGGTGCATCTCTACAATTTATTGTGTATTCCTTCCGCCAGTGGCTTCGCCCGCGTGTCTATGGAAAAGTTTTTATGGAATTTTCTCGTTTTAAGTCCAGAAATGAGAAAATTCCATAAAAACTTTCATCCTCTAATTAACCGTCTTAGTAATCGAATTTCGAAAATTCCCATCTTAGTGAGCACCTATGTCCAAAATAGAACCCGCATGCAAAATTAGAAACTCCTGGCACTTGTACTTTCTGAGATTTCATGATGAGTGAGTGAGTGAGTGAGTGACCTTTTGCTTTCATATATATATGTAGATTCCCTAAAAGTATTCACATGATGAAGTGCTCTATTCCTAGTCAGATACGCTAATATTAAAATTGTTATCTTTTTCAGGCTTTCAATTTAGTTGCCATTTCAATAAATACAATTTGCTATCAAGCAATGAAGAGCATTAGCCGGCCCAAGTACTCTGACAACAGTCAACTTATTGACCCAGGGCTGGATCTCAACATGGAAGGTGGTATGGGCGAGTGAGTATATATTTACAAATTGGTTTGTTTATAATTATTCCATTAACTAACCAGCATAAGCCTTATGTGATTCAACAAAGTACACTATCAACTATAATTTTAACTAAATACTTACTCATATCTTAGGAACATATTCACAAAGTGGGGTTTGCGAATTTTTAGTTGCCTATTTCTTTATTTTTACAAGATCAACAGGTTTTTATTTTAGTGCTTAATTAATAAAATATTAAATGTTCAGTGTATAAGGTTTATGGTAGAGTTACTTTTTTTATGTTTGCAAATATGCAGTTCTTTCCTTGTTTTTTTTTTTATTGTCTACCTATCCTTTCTTTTTACATATATAATTATTTTTCAGGCATTTGAAAGATGTTGTTATCTTATCTTCTATCACACATGTGCTGGCAGTTTTCTCTAATTATTTCTGGTTGTTATTATTATTCATACCAATGAGAGCTTTTTGGTTATTGTGGAAGAATATATTAGGGCCTTGGTTCTTCCAAGAAGCCCCAGAAGATACAGAACAGGATGAAAAAAAAAGGAAAAAGATGGAAAGGAAAATGAAAAGATATCAGCAATAAATAAATTTGTATGTTTAAAATTTTCATTAAGTATAAATAATCGTGTAACATACCCACTTTTGTTAATTTTGATCATCCTTATTACCACGCAATAGTTATTGACTATTATAAATGAAATATTTAATTTTACCTTTATATTATTTTAATAATTATTTTAATTTTTATGTAATGAACCAACAAGCAACTGAATGTAAAATGAGTTTTTGTACAGTTTCTCTCTAATTGAACAAGATTGTTTTGTATGATCAACGAATAATTAATGATTAATGAATATAATATAAATTTGTAATGGAATCGTTTCATTTATAGTGTGAAGATTGAACTATAAATGAAACAACTTGTGAATAGTTTCATCGCGTTCTTATGATAAAACCTTACAAAGTTATTCATAAAGAATTTCAACATTTGTTAACCGCTTATTTCCCACTGTACCTATTGTTTTTGTCAGTCCATGAGAACATCCAAATAATTTTGTTTGTAAATTGGAAGAATGCCGACTTCCTCAACAGTGTTTTGCTCTGATCTATTTGGATCTAACAGTTAAAATCACACATGGACGTAGAAACACGTCATTACCATGAACTACTTAAAAATATTAATAATGTTATCTAGTAAAATATTATTCATATTAGTGCAGAGTCGAAGTGAATCTAAAAATTAATATTGCTAATTCGCTCTTATTTTATAAAAAGATCTCGCATTTTCGTAAGAATACTCGAAAAACTTTATGGGTCTCTGAATGAATATGAACCTTAATAGGACGCGTTTCCCCAAAATCAATATTTTTTACGTAAAGAAATAACGTCCTATTACGCTGACAAATTTATCAGATCACTAAGAATTTACCAACGGAACGGAAGAACAATTTTTATCACTTGGGAAGGTAAAGGGTAATTTTATGGAGGGGTTACATTATTTTTATAATTATAGCACAGAAGGTGATTCTGTTGTAAATTTTATGTATTGTATCTATTATTCAATCAAATTGAGCTTTGTTTATAAAAAAATGTTTTATTTATATAATTTTTAACAGACTTTTTCATTTATTTAACATGGCCGCAAACATGTATTGTTAGATAAAGGACATAAATAGACTGATAAAAAAAAAACAATAAATCTATTGTTATTATGTCATTAAAAAATAAATTATGTGAAGCTGATGATGACGTTTTTATGTTTTATTTTTAAGCGACTTCAAAAAACAAGGTAATGTATTGACCTGTATGTAAGATGCAATTTCGTTGGAAAGCTATAATATTCATGAATGTAATACAAAAAGTGTATACACCGACAATTTATTTGGTCAGTGCCAGATATTTATTGAAAAATATCTAAGATGAGAGAAAAAAAGGTAATCACTAGGTCTGTTTTCTTACTACTGATGACGCGGTTAACATCAACCTCAAAAAATTGTGGGTGTATGCACTTTTTGCGTTTTGTGTCCTGCCACTTCACAAGTATGTGGTACTTATGATTTATAATATAATAAAGATATATGAAACAAACTGTTATTAGAGCCATTAATAAACGTCACAGAACACTAAACATAGATTATAAAATTTTTTGTCTGTTTTTCTGTGCGTTTGTGCACGCTAATCTCAGTAATGACTGTACCGATTTTAGTGCAGTTTTTACTATTGTATTGTGGTAACCTTCCGTTAACATTTAGTATAAGTTTAATTGCAATCGGTTCACAAATAAAACAGTTATATCAATTTGAAGTACAAGCAATTTTAGCGAACACACAAAAATTTGCTATGAAATTAATTGCTTTATTAAAGTTTAGTCTCTGATATAGTGTTTATCATTGTCAGCTCTTTTACATCCTCATGAAATGGGGCATGCCTATATTTAATAATTTTTTGGTCACGCATCCCGTAAAAAACCTATGCGAAAATTGCTTAACATCAACAAGATAAATAAAAAAATAAGTTTTCAATATTTTGGATACTGCAATGTAAGTTGATTTCAATTAAAATATGATCATATATAGCTGAAGCTTATAATGGACATGCAGTACCTATACGATCACGTGAGTAGGATATCAAAGGAAAAGAGCTTTGCGCTGCTGCAATTAAGCATTGAGTAGTTTATAGTGAACGCACGTAGTATAAGGTTTTCGATTGTTAATTCTTATCAGGTTAGGTTTACGTCTTCGAGGCTAGCGGAGGTGGTTGGCTGCCACATGACCTGGTGACTCGGTTGCGGCTGGGTGGGTTTACGGAGAAGAGCCCTACTCACCCCTGTTGCTTGTCGGGTAACAGAAACGGAGCCTCGACGTTAAAAAAAAAGTTAAGTTAACGTCTCAGCAGATACTTTCGCCAAAAAGGTACATAAATTGTAAGAATGCCTTGAAAAAAGGTGCTAAAAGATTCTTAAGAAGATCCTACAGCGAGACGTAAGAATTTTTTAGGCCAGGTTACACTTTTATTGACAAACAAAGTCGCTTGAGCTCTCAAAAAGTTCGGACAGGAAACGCTCGATCACAGGAGATACCTACTTGACGATCGCGAAGCGTATTTAAATGCCCATCAAGACTGGCATGCACTATCAAGTTGAATCTGGAGCATTGTTTGTTAGGGAAAATATCTTGAGCTCTCAGAGAACTCATAGAGCAAGCGTTTCATCTCGGAAAACTCCTGAAGATAACTTAGCACCTCTATCTGCTGATCGTAATAGATATGCAGTATGGTTTGAGTCTGAAACTTCCTTTGATAGGGAAATGCGGACGCGCTCTTAAAGAGCCGATTATCGCTAATCGGTGTTGCCTTCAACCTGCCTGTACCCCACAAGCGTACCTATTTAATTAACTGTTAACTAGCCGCGTAAATTATAACCTGTGTCACCCGCGTATCACGTAGCTTCCCGTAGGTGAAAGAATTTTTAAAATCTGTTTTGTGGTATCGGAACCGATTTGGTGTAAAAAACAATGAAATTTTTCCTTTTTTTAAGATTAAAGGTTAGCGCATTCGGTTTACGATGCGGTTACAAATTTTGTTTTTTGCGGTTAACTATGTACTTATGACAAACTTAGCGTTAGCCAGCGATTTCTTTTATAACATCTATTTTTGAATCTACTTATTTCAATAAACGTTATCAAGAAAGTAAGTTCACATGAAATAATCATGACTAAATTATGAGAGCCAAAAATAGACTTCAAACGTCCAAAGGCAATGAGAAAAGTATTTATATATTTATTAAAGTATATGAAAAAGAAAATTGGTAATGATTACCTTTTTTTTTTAATTACTTAAAATACCAAAACCTGTAAAAGAAATCGTAAAATCAGTTTAGCCTCACGCAAGATAAGCGTGGATAAACATATATATAAACACGAATATTCACACATACAGGGTTAAAATGAGAACCTCCTTTTTTGATGTCAAAAAGGCGGCTAGTGCTATATGGCCTAGGTAGGGCATGGAATACCGGAATGATTTTCATACCGGTATTGATACCGGTATTAGACTTTCAAATACCGGTATACCGGTATTTCGGTATTTTTTCGGTATATTTTGAAATTACTGCTAAAAAACAGTAACTACTGTTTAAATAATTTAAAGAACATTTAGTAAGTCTCCAAAGTAAAAACACTGAAACTATTCACTCCCTAGAAATCAAAAAAATAGTAGGTAATTAATGTAAGGTTATTAATTAAGACATACTAAAGAAAATACGTTCTTTGATCCTAGTATCGTTCATTTATTGTTTAATTGGCACAAATATCGGAATCAGCTCTCTTATAATAATAGAACTTATAACATGTAAGTTACAAAATTTTCAAACAAAATCAAATTACAAATGATGTTACTTATTTTAAAATTATTTTTATGAAAGGTGCAATTCAACTTAAATCTCAATCAGGTAGATCGCGTTTGTTGTAAAATTGAACGAAGAAAACACGATGCGTCCAAAGTTGCGTCGTTCAACGATGATCTTATTTTGTTACAAATGTAACTTGCAGATGAAAACGCCCTTTCTGATTCAACGCTGGTGGGAGGAATGCTTAATAGGTACTTGTAAGCTGCATCCAAAAATCTGCCTCTAGTACCTCCATTTTAAAAAGCTGGTGGAGTTAGAGTAGTAAACAAACGGCAACGTGCTCTCGCTTCAATAATATCAGCAGAACTGACTGAGAAAGCCGCGAGCCGGCGGCGGGCGGAGGGAGGGGAAGGAAGTGGCGTGCTCGGCGTGCGCGTCACATGATTAGTGATGGGACTGGATACTCGAATCGTTTTGAATCTACCGATTATTTGAATCGATAGTTGAACCCTGGGGATGGACATAACATAGGCGAAGGCGTCCTTATATATACAACTGCTGGGTGTGGGTTCCATAACGTGTACAACTGTGCTGTGAAATATAAAAAACCGGCGAGTGGAACTCGCGCACGAAGGGTGCCATTGGAGAATAATATTCTTTATTTATTATTGATTTAAGAACCAATTCGGTGTGATAAATTAATAAAAATATTTTGCTAGCTTTCATAACGGCTGAGATATTCCAATTTTTGACACTTTGTTGTATCAGCGCCACTTAGAGGATAAAACTTGTAACAGGTTTTAGTATTTGTTTTTGTAACGGCAACAGTTGTACACATTCTGTGAAAATTTCAGATTCCTAGCCGCAGCGGTTTCGGAGATAGAGCCCGCTGACAGGCGGAGACAGCGTAGTCTACTCAGTCATACTCAGTCCTTTGATCTTTTGGTACCCTAAAAATATGTGTGAAAACGTATCAATGACTTTTAACAGCTGATATTGCAAAAATATAAAGCTTTTTTTTAAAATACCGAAATACCGGTATTTTATCCTCAAATACCGGTATCAAAATACCGAAAAAATTGTCCGGTATACCGGTATTTCGGTATACCGGTATACCGGTATCCATGCCCTATCCATGCCCTAGGCCTAGGGTAGCTAATCCTGCAAATCCGCTTCTGAAAATGAAATAACTATACTATAAAATATTACCTATATACTCAGATAAATAACATTGATTTTAATCTAGAAAAGTCCTGGAGATTTTATTTATGTACTTGACATAAAAAATATATTTTTCCAGCACACATCTATAAAAGAAGATCTCCTGACATACTGACTGACGGACAATGCACAGCTTAAACTGCTGGTCGTAGAGACTTGAAATTTGGAGGGGGACATTCCTCTTATTACGTAGAGGTGTATTGTGATTTTTGTAAATTCTACCCCAAAGGGGGCTAAAAAGGATGGAAAAAGTTTGTATGAAACTTCTTTTATTGGACCTATATTGATGAAATTTGGTACTTGAGTAGATAAAGACCCTGGGAATGTGTGTGAGTTTTATCTTTTATCCCAAAAAGCAACACTTTGAGGGATAAAAATGGATTGTTTTTTTTTATAGGGAATGAAAATATTAACATTGCAACCATAACCAATTATAATTTGATTTGTTAATGCAATAAATTTATCTAATATTATTTGTAAATATTTTATTAGAAAGCGATAACAAATTGGTAGTTGAGTAATTAATTTAATAAAATAAAAAAAAATATTTCAATGCAAGTTATTATATTTCCAAAAAAAAAACTGTTTATATATTTTCAGCTATACTAGATGGCGTTACATATTTTCTACATCATAATGTTATGCTCAAGGTTAAGTTTTAAAATAAAATGAAATAAAAACGTTAAGCTTTGCATTATTAGATGTGTGAGTAAACTACGCTATCGTTTGGTTCAAAGAATTTTGCGTGGATTTCATTAATTTCATTTCATTAAGTTTTGTGTAAACTTTATATTTGTGTTATACTTACCATCTGTATTTCAAGTTGGGATAATAAAGCGCCACACTACAACATAAATTATATGCTGTAGTCTGGCGTCTTCGAACTTCAACATCAAGATAATTTAATGTTAATCTCACAGGTATTTTATATTATTTATTAAAATAAAATAGCGCAGTGGACTAGTGCCACGGCCTGCGATCGTCGCTGTGCAACTTTCGCAAGGGTCGGCACGGGTTGGATGATCACAAAATTATCTCGATGAATAATGATAAAAATCCACTTTGTGCCTGGCACTTTGTGATGGGAATCAAACCCATGACCTTTCGCGACTGCTTTAACCACTGAGCTACGCAAGACCTAATAGGACTGATTCAGCAGGATTAGGATTTTTTAAGCATTTTTTATCAAGAATATTTTTTAGTATAGCATTGTTAATGCAAAATTTATAAAATATAATTATGATCTCGATCAAAAGGCACTTGATAACGTCGGAGCTGGCTGCATTTGCTTTCGTTAATACCCTCCAATCCGTATTGGAGGGTTGTGGTCCATCTTCCTCAACCTAACCTTCTAAGCAATGTCCGAAGAAACTCCCATCAGTGTGGACGTAAAAAGGGATGATTATGACTAATAATTTAATAAAAATAATATTTTTGTTTCGCAACCTGACCAGTTGCTTGTAGACTTTGTACAGTCGCACTTTAGAAGAACGTTGTGTTGGTTACTTACCGACGTTTAGCCGTGAAAATGAATGACACTATTAAATTATAGGGCTAGCCGTCCAATTGGAAGGATGTACCAGTTGACGAATACACAAAATATAGATTACGACATATACACAAAACATAAATTATTCTCAAAATCTCCTCAATTAGAACTCGGAAAAAACAGCTGTAACATTGAAAATCGACTACACAAATGATGCTATGGACGATATGGAGAACTATTCCCTATTTTTATTATACTTACAAGCAAAAATAAGTCTGGATCTGTTTCTTAATTTTCAATTTTAAAGTCTGTTAAAGGTGAAAAAAGATATCAAGTATATTGAAACTACAAGCATAAATTCAACATAAATAAATATGGTGTGTTCCATTTTTGAATAATCGAGTTTCTCATTTAGACGGTAACTGCAATTAAGGCTGTAATGACTACCTTTTCGAACAAGAGAAAAGGAAAGCTTTCATGAAGAAGTAAATTACTTTTCTAAATGCCGTTATGAAATTTCAGGTTTCCAAATTTCAATAAGCTTTTACTTCGTTTCCGCTATTACAATTTAACAAACTACAGATACAACTATACAAGCTACAATAAAATTCTTTATAAGTTATTTGCGAAAAACCAGATTAAAACGAATTTATAGGTTTAAAAAAATTACAGAATTTTCCTTCAGGTATTATTAATTTCAATTGAATGAGTAGGCAAAAATCCTTCGCAAAATAATGAAAACACTGAGTTAAGATTTTTTTTTAGATTTAGAACTGGACGGTTATTTCTAAATATAGGAAATAATGCTCGGCTGTATAGGCATACCTAAGTGTTTATAATTTCAAAAAATATGTCATGTCTCAAGTTGGCCTAAGTTAACAAGCAATTATTATTTAGCTATAAATAAATAAACGGGTAAATAAAATTACTCGCATGAGATTATTTGTTGTTTATAACAATTACAAAATAAAAAAAGGTTTAGGTACTTATTACTTTTAAATTCCTGTTCGTTGTCCCACATGCATTCGTTTTAATATTAGTGTTGGATTGTCTGTACTTAAAAAAAAAATTAAGTATTATACATATTTAATCTGCATATATCAAATTCTTTTCAAACGGAAAATTGATAACATCACTGATCATTAAATATAATTACCTGCTAACAATCCTCTCCTTTCTTTTGCAAATTACGTAGTACTAGCGTGTAGATAGAACCGTCTTTGGGGTTTGTGGTACATTACGCGGTTGCGCGTCGTACCGAACGTTCCGTCCTACGCGGCTCCAAGACACGCGCCAAAATACAGCACGTAAGTAATTCTGAATTTGTTTATTCAGCCATTGAGTGTAGGAAGTGTTATTATCCATCGAATGATAGAAGTTCTTTACCGATTTTAAGTTCATTTTACCTTATGATTTTTTTCAAACTTTTATGAATATATTTCTTTTCTATTTTATATAAATGTCACAAAAAAACATGAAATGGTATGTGCCACAAATGCTTCTCAATAAGTACGAATTCTATTGAGTATAAAAAAAAAATTAATTAGATTATTTTATTATTAATTAAGTCAAGAAAGTAATAGAGAATAAAAGAATTGATCTAATTTATACATTCACCAATAAATAGTAATTGAAAATATATATTTTCAAACACTAATCACTGATTTATATTTAAACGAAAAAATAGGCAAAATTAAAGGGCCACTCTTTACGATACGTCAATTCCACTGATGTCGTAGCGCAGTCTATGATATGTTAAATATACCAAAGTTATAAAAGAAATCAAAATTCGTAGGTACATTGTTCAATTGTGATCATTTGTTACTGGATTAAAGTCAGATTTAGATCAAAATATATGACGGTCGATGTCCATTGATATGATTTAATGTTTTGTTGATGCTGATGATTGCTTAATATTTAACGAAGTGAAAAAAGATGACTGGGATATTATACAATGTTTGCACAAGCGTTTGCGACGGATAACGTTAGGCTCGGGTGAACCCAAATATGAGAAAGTCAATTCAAATGCACCTACTTGTTGTCATTTGTAATATTGGCTATGTACACGACTTTAGCGTCATCTAGCGTCCTAAACTTTGGCAGCTTTGAAATTAAACTTGTTATTTTAGATAGAATATAAATATTAAAATAAACAAAACTACCGCGATACTGTGATTTGGGTGGACAGAGGGTTGTTAAATGATTTTTAATCATTGAAATTAAATTAGGTAACTAAATTAATTTTATTTAAAAAATGAGTTTTATTTTGGCTATGTCAGAGTTTGCAATTTTACTGTGAAACGAGAAATTAAAGCGCCTTTGAAGATTTCATTAAATATTAATAAACATATATAATTATTCCTGTATCGTTAGTAATAAATGAAATATGAATTTAAGATCGAAATGAGTATTATTCTGAGGACCGAGTTTGTGTGTATCACGCACGATATAAAAAAAGAAAAACAAAAATCCCGACTGCGTAAAAACGAATTTAAAAAAATACATGAAAGAATTAACTTAAATAAAAACTAAAAAGAAAGAAACAAGACCAGTCGTTTAGAATTCTGTTAAGTAATACGGAACAGAACGACTTAGTCGGGGCCCATTCAAATTTTACCAATCAAATCTTCCCAAGGGGCTACTTAGCCGTAGATTGAGTTTCATCAGCTTCCACAATCGCCTTTGATTCGTCATTGTCGACCAAAATTTCGGACGGCCACGGGTGTCGTTTTTCAGGTCAAAATTTCCAGAACAGAAGCGGGCAAACCAATAATGGGTGGTGCGTCGCTCCGTAAACGTCGTTGATGTTGCGTGTCGCTTGTGCCGCTTTGCTGCCATGACAGTACTTATACTTCATAATTACTCGAATTTTTAACTTATCCATGACGACGAAAAATTTCGAATGCGTTGAAAACAAAACACTAACTATTAAACAAATTACGATTTTAGAAAAAAAAATCCAAGTTTTCAAAATAAAATTAATTTGAAATTATCAGCCAAAAAATATTTTGATTTGAAATGGCCAGTACGGCAGAACGGCAATTTCTTAGGTAAAGGCCTATTGTATTATTGAGTACCTAAACATAGAAAAATAAACAATTCTATGTATCTATAGTGAAATCTTTGCTCCACGGATCATTTGTAATACTTACAGGGACCATAAGTAATTTTTGGACCACCGGTTGAGAATTGGTATAGATAGGTATAGGTAGGCAGAGGAGCTCGCTGACTCAGTCGCAGTATAGAAAAAATCTTAACTGTGTCGCAGCGGTTAGCGTATTTAGTATATGATGTTAGCGTATTTAGTCTATATTAAGTTCACGTAAGACTGTTGGTTTCGGCTGCATTTGTCGTTAACTAACACCAACGAATCTGAAGTGAGCCAACGTGATAGGTCTATTTGATTCGATGTCTGTGCTTGTGACATAAGAAAATGTTTAATATATAGTAAAGTAAAAATTTAAAGAATTACTATTGAGTACTTAATGCCATGTATAAATTCTTAAAGAAAATACATCTTTAACTTGATACCAATTTGTCTGTCTAAATTAAAGCCGAAATAGTCATACTCATAAAACATATCTAACGATTGTTATGAAACGCATGTGGGTCAGCTCTTCGCCGACTCTTGGCTACAGAGGTTACACAAGTTTTCTCTATAACAATAAAAAAATTGCTTTACGCATTTTTTAATTTTGTACCTTATTTATTTAATTTTAATGTTAAAAACTCCAAAAGCTGAGTCATAAAATTGAAATGTCATGTTCTAGTTTATTTTTTAAACTGTGTCCCCTATCGTCTGCCTTGTTATGTAAGCCTCACCTGCTTCTTAGTTACATAAAAAAAACATACTCTGTAGAAGTATCTGTTAGTGTAAAAAATTCGTTCAGGTTCACAAGGTAAATTCTTAAACGTATAAATTAATCCAGATGCCAGAGAACTTTAAAAAAAATGAAACTTATTTTAAAAATAGAACCGACTTCAAACTTAAAACAGTGAAAATAATATTTATCTCAAAAGCATCTTAATCAAGAAAATGCTATTAAAGTCGGGAAGAGGTTTCCTGTAGGTTATTAAATAAATGATATGCGGCTTCAATAGATCGAAGATCGATAATGATTACAGACCACTAAATTGAAGAGTTGGAAAACATTAATCTATCCGCCACGCCTTCGCCCACGTGGAAATCCTTTTAGACTATTTTTCGTAATAAAAGCTATCCTATGTCCTTTCCCAAGGTCCACTGTAAACTTTTCGAAATTTCGTTAAAATTAGTTCAATAGTTTAGGCGTGAAGACGTTACGGACACACAGACACAGTTACTTTTGCATTTATAATTTTATTATTTTAATTAAAACGTTACGTCATTTTAGTTAATATTTATACAAATAACAAATACCAACTGTCGGAGTACCTTATTAGTCTTCAAATATTTGTTGTGGGCAAATCATGTTTGTGTAGTGATATTATTCAATGACGAGGATTGTATTTCCAGGATATTAAACAAACATGTTTTAAGTCATCTTCCACGTTTAAACGACTTCATTAGTATTTAATTAAATTGCGTCTCAATTATTACATTCTTTTTTACCCCAACGAGGTATTTATCCCTAACAATAAGTTAGGAACTACTGCTTTAGAGAGTGGCACCTAAAACAGTACCGGCGCCATTAATAGAATAAAATTAAGAGGAAGGTAATAAGATGTCGGGAAAATTCGAATGAAATAGAGTTAATATTTAATTTCATCAAACTTTTCAACACTTTTAGAGAAATAGTTTAAGTAACTATAAACTATTTCCACAAAACTATTAAAACGATATCGGATAAGTAGGTTAATTTTAGAAGTCTGTGGATAATTAAGAAATGGTGCCTACTTAGTACATAGTTCATTTTGTCTTTTAAACCTATAAAGTTATAATAGTTTGCTTTCTTACCCCATTCATGCAAAGAAAATTCCTCATTTGCTTGATAAGGTTGGCCTATATTTTATTGTGATCAACAGCCGATTTTTGTCAAACAAATCTAACCATTTTTTTGGTTAGAACGAGATTACGAATCTTTATTAGATTGTTATATTTTAATCTTGTTGCCGGCCAGATTTTTTAATTTAAGTCTTACGTCCGAAAAGGGTCAATTAAAACGAAATCGTGGAAACTTACATGTTAATAGCGGAACGTATCAATTAACGCACGTTTAGTGCCAGTTTCATTAGATTTCGGTTGGATACCGATTAGGGGGCGTCCATAAATTACGTGAGATGTTTAAGGGGGGGAGGGGGTTGAGGCAAATCTCATCTAATCTTACGTTTGAGAGAGGGGGGGTCTTGGCAAATATCACGCAATTTTTTTCTGATTGAAACAAAAAAATATATACTATTTTGGTCCATTTAATCCAGATTGTACATGCTTAAGATTTAATCTTAAGCGTAATCGTATACTATTAAGATCATTCACTAATTCGTTCAAAAGAAAATAATTTCATTCATACTTCGACGCTATACATCTACTGAATGTCAAACCACCATATTTGTAGGGTATATTTTACTTTCAAAAGCGATACTCGATATTGAGTACTCGATACTACAACAAGGCAAATACTCGCAAGTACTCATCAAATTGCATTTTGAAAAATCTCACGTGAGATTGGGGGATGGGGGAGGGGGTTGAATAAAATCTCACGACATCTCACCAGAGGGGGAGGGAGGGACAGAAAATTTAAAAAACACCTCACGTAATTTATGGACGCCCCCTTAACATACTGACAGATAACTTCATATTCATTCTGTTCCATTTTAAGAAGGAACTAAAAGGTAATTAGTAGAACCCGATGTTATTATGTTTTGCCCGATTATTTAAGCTCAAAAGGGGTAAGAGATATTTTGTTCTACTCACCACTAAGCTTAATAAAAAAAAATGTAAGTAATCTTAATTTGGGTTAATTGTAATGTTCCATTATTTATTTTTCCATTATTTCCATTATTATATAGACATGTTATGAAAGAAATATATTACATGGCTCTATACTAAAATACCTACAAGTTAATTTGTGTTATCTTAGTTACGCTATTATCTTATAGTCGAGTACAGCGCTTTAATTTTTATAAGAGAATAGCACTGCAGAATCAAAAACTAAGAACGTGACAAGATTATAACTAAGTTTAGCCTAGTTTGTGCAACATAGCCTAGTTTGTCCATCATCTGTCATTCCGAAGCAGAATTCTAATAATGTATCTGGACTAAAGTACCTACTTCATACACTCTGAAACAAAACTGAATAGTGTAGGTAATCACATAACTAAGAATAGT